GCCCAACTATTTTATTTTAAATATAATTATACCGACAATTGAATGCAACGATTTTTAGCAAAGATACGAACCTTCGGCTTTTAGCGTAACTCCACACCAATATATGTATATCGATAACTTTCAAGGCAAAACATCGTATAGAAAATGTATATTTAAATAATATTAAAATGGTTCAAATTTGTTCATTAAAAACGCTGTCATTAACATTTTTATCGAAACTTAGTTAATAAAATTGCATTGATTTTGTGAGCATTTACCACTATTTGATTTTAATATGATTTAACTTCTGGCAAAATTTAATTGTGAGAAATTTTACTTTATCTATCCAAAAAATAACCCTAAACTATTCCTCCAGAAGCTCAAATCCCTTCCAGATGCTACGTCGCTTTGAAACTGACAACGGGAAATGGTCACTTAAGTTAATTGGCTAAAATAGCAAAGACAATGAAAGAACAGAAATTAAACATACTCCGTTTACTCATTTCACAATTTGAATACATTTGATTAGCTACAAATTAAAAATGCATATGCATCAACTACATAAATGTTATTCATAAAATGGCAACGTATGCTAGTACACGATTCAGTGACAAGTAGTTTCAATTATTAGTGTAATTGTACGTGTCCTCGAGGCGATGGCAGCGACGTCGTGTTGTGCGACGATCACAAATTGAAAACGGTGGCGGGCACCCAATAAATAAAAATGAACTAAAAACTAGATAATAAACAAATTTTAGCACGTGCACGTAGAAATGAGATTGATGGCGGGTAGCAGTGATTACTGCGACTTCTTGGACTCCACAGGAGACGTCGTCTTCTTGGCAGATTCCGGCAGCCGCTCCATAGCCTGCTTGTATAGCTGGTTCAGTCCAAATGTAGCCCGTACATTGTCGCTGGAGAAGAAGAACTTTTGCAGCTTGCCCTTGTTATCCACGCAGGGGCGTCGGTCCACTTCTTTTCCCTGCTGGAACAACACAACTGTGGGCAACTGGCGGGAGAAGCTGCTGTCCGAAATGCGATACTTCTGCGCCACATCCGGAAAACGGCCAATGTCAATCTTTCCAAATCGCAGATACTCAGCGTTGTACTCGTGGGAGAGCTCTGCAAACACGGGGGCGAAGTGGACACAGCTCGGATTCCAAACGGTGTAGAAGCAAATCAACCAACTGGTACGCTTGTCCCTCACCAGCTCCTCCTCGAACACCTGGGAATTGCGGAAGTAGGTTATGTGCTCGGGTCCTCGATACGACGGCTCCGGCAGAACCATGCCAACCAGCACGCACATCAAAAGGAAGCCCAGGCCAAAGCGAAAGTCCGCGTAGCCCCAGAGTATGGCATTGGCCACCTTTGTGTAGAGGAACGACGACGACAGATAGTTAATCATGGTGACGCTGCCGGTTTTGCGCGACCGTATCATTACGACGATAAGTAAGAAGAACAGTATCTCTGCCTCGCGGCTGTCGAGATCGCACACATCGTCCTCTTCCCCTAGGTTGAAGATGCGGGTGCATATAAACGTTGTCTTCTTCGCCAGCAGATACGAGAGGGCCATCAATATATTCACCCAGTAGTAGGGCAATGCGAGTGTTCCTAGCTGCTTCTTCCACGTCATCGTACAGTGCTGTGCTGTGCTTGCCTTGGCCGATGTAGGTTATGCTTTTTTTAATTAACAATTTCCCGTGATTTTCTTTTTCTCAATTTCGGCAGCGTTGTTGTTGTTTTTTATTTTTGTTGTTGTTGTTATCTCTTATCGATATCAACCTCTCAGTGCTGTTAAAATTAGTTGTTCAGTGTGACCGCTCACCCCTATCGATATCAACCAAGCTCTGCTTTACATATTCCTCGTTTTTGATATTCCGTTGAATATTACTAGCTATATAGAACTTTTAGCCGTGCCCACATAATTTTAGCCCATTGATGAATCAATTTTCTACAAGATTGGATAGTTTTTAATCCTTGCTTTTATTGTATTTATTGTAAAAAAAGGGTTAAACGAAAAAGTTCAACAAAATATCAGTCGCAATGTTGCTGGTATTTGAAGACATGATGCGTGTATAGGCCTTTGTACACCCTATTTCGTTAATTTTATATGAAGATGAAACGTGATTTATAAAGACCTTTTCTCAAATTGATATGTTTTTGACTTATTCATGTGTATTATTAGTATCTTGTATAAATTTAAGTCGATCCTGATACCTACTGAGCCTGGGATGACAAACGTATTCACAGTTCTATAACATCCATTTCCCCCAGGGTATGTGTGCAAGGAATTAGCAACATGTTTGTGTTTGGAATGAGACTCATTGTTGCAAATGCGAAACTGCGGCGAATCGGGTATTGCCTATATTTCAAGCATATAGATTTGCCCACTTAGCTTTATCCCATGGATAAATGTATTTTCTACAAGATTGCTTCTTTTAATTACCTTTATGTATTTTATTTTGACCAACAAACGGTTTTCAAGTAAATGTTTCCGCAACTTTTGTGTATGGAATGCGCAACATTTGTGTATGGAATGAGACTCATTGTTGCTAAAGCGAACTGGGGCGAACTGCGGCGAATTCAAATTTCTCATATTCTTTGTTCCGTTGAATAATACTATCTATATAGAACATTTAGCCATGCCCACTCAATTTTAGCCCATTGATGAATCAATTCTATACATGATTGGTCTATTCGAAATACTTGCATTTATTGGATTTCTATATAACATTGAAAATTAAATTAATAGATTGATGAAATTGACAAAAATACCATGGGAGCGCGGCGAAAACCAGTATTTCTACAGTATGACCCTCAGAACAGCACCGAAATATACCATCTCATTTTGAAAATATACCGTAAATATATTCACGAATAGTTATATTTTACATATTCCTCGTTTTTGATATTCCGTTGAAATTCTCAGCTATATAGCACATTTAGCCATGCCCACATAATTTTATATGATTGATGAATCAATTTTCTAGTAGTTTAAAGTTCTGATCTTTATTGAATCGTTTATAAAATAAAGTTTGAACAACAACAATTTCGACAAAAGTAATTTTTTTACATAGTAACTATACTATTTCTACATAATATCTACATGTTAACTACATTTGTATGTAAATATCAAAACCGAGCCAGTTTGCGACAACAATCGTTATTGCCGGCATATTTGAAAAAAAATTAAGGGTTTAATGGCAAACGATCCAGAATTGGATGTTGATCACGAATTTGCATTCGCTATGGACTAGAAAATGGCTCTAAAAAGCATTTCTACATTTCTATAAAATACTATTAAAAGTATACAAGCCCTGAACACAGAATTGTACCCGACTGATGAATCACTTTCGTACAAGACTGGCTAATTTTAGGTATGACTTCTTGTTTGATTGTGGTTAAATAAAGATTTAAAAAAAACGATAAAATAAACGGAGTATGTGAAAAGGGTATGCACTACAACGGAAAACGCACAGCAACACTACAAACTAGTATTGTAAGCTGCAGTTGTCGATAACATTAGAATTTAAATCAAATCTTCAGTTGAAAAATGTTTCTTACTGCATATGTTATTTATTCTGCTTGAAAATGTTACGTCAGATTTTTGCAAGAGTCATTGACGGCTCGTTGAACTTTGCTGGGAAGGTCTCTCAAAGAATAAGCGATGACCGGGATATTCATTATCAGAACACACGCCAGCCGAATTTATAACAAAAAAATTTTAATCAGTAAAACTCACTGACTCTACGTGATCATAGGCAGACGATCGTGGCTGCAGACACTCTCATAATCAATTATTTTTATTTCGGGCCTCCTTTTTTGATTTTTTGTCAAATTATACCAAAGGCGTGTGTTTGAAATGATTGCATGAATTAGAAACACACATTGTAGAGTATTGCTTGAGCTATCTGCATCTTGACTTGCTGGGAACATTGTGTAAAGATTAACTTTTATAGTAAACACATTTCGCGTCACACAATTAAATGAGTTATTTCTGATTGTATTCTTGTGATCGCCGGTCATGGAGATCGAACCTCCCACTCATGTATATACTGGTTTTACTGCTCTACATTGTATAGCATTGTTTACTGATTATATTAGAAACATGGTGGTACGAAAAATACCTTACCCTTAAAAAATGTTTTAGCAGTACAAATTACATTTAATGCTTCATTAAAAGTGCATACGCACCGAGTTGAAGAAGTTATATTATATATTTATGGATTCTTATTGTCAACAATATAAATATTCTAGTGAAAATATAAATAAACAACCTGCACTTAGGTCAGTTTTTAATATTATCAGAAACGTCCCAGACCTTATACGTTTACTATTTTAGTATATATTTCAATGTGACTCAAACCGGTTTTAGCTGCCTCGTTATTGAGCTTTAGAGCCTTAGATTAACGTATCTTCATGGTCAACGAAGATGTGCTCTCCAATCCTTTGGTTTGATGGGGAGATGTATGTACATATACTCGTAAGACCCAGATTCGCATAAAAATCGTTATCCGATTATCGAAATATCTTGCCAAAACAGGGCCTCTTTCTCTGTGCCACACATATTCGCTGTCGCCTTGAAAAATCACTGGTAGCTGAAACAAATAGACCTCACCTCAAGACTAGCTAGTCAAAACAAAAAAAAAACCAAAAACAAAACCAAAACAAGAGCAAATACAGCTGATAACTAGACGAAAGCAAAATGGCGATCGATCGCTTGCCGGTGCTATCAGGGCAACCTGATCTCCCGTCTCTCTAACAGGTCCACATTTCGCTTATCGCCATAGAAGAGCCTCGATTCCGATTCAGATTCAGATTCAGAAGCTCTGAACACGCGGTCTATAAATTGCAATCGATTCGAAGCGGCAAACTCAGTTCAGTTTTGAACCTTGTGCCGTGTGCTTTCATCGGGAGCTAATGAAAATTTTCGTTGATCATCGAGAAAAACCAATCAAACAGTTTTGGCATTAAATGCCTTGTGATCTAAGACAAATTGTGCTAATATTGAATTGAATTTAATTGGCTCTAGTTTGAAGCAAATTTATATTCGATCAAAGAAACACTTGGAGATATTTCGTCAAAGCGAAATATTCCCGATTACCCAACTCGCCGCCGACTTTGATTTTTGTCTTTGAATGCTGCTCCAGCAGACCGAAAATTCCACCAAGTTCAATCAGCATTTCACAGAGTGCTGGAATCAGCTAAGCCTGCAGAGAAGGTCCGACATATTATCCGTTCTCAGCACCATATCCTTCAGCGGTTAGTAGCTCCCAGGACTCCTAGAGCTCCATCTCTTAATGCCTCCTATCCCAACAGCTGCTAAGATGGCCACCATGCCCCAGGGTGCATTTGCCGCCTGCAAGATTCGCCAGCAATTCAACGAGCGCGAGATGATCGTTTCCCGCATGAGATCTGGGACAGATAAGACTGCAGTTGACAACAACACAGCTCGTGAGTACAGGGACCAATAGGACAATTGCATTGCCCAGTAATTCTTTCCCTCTCTGACTCACGTCTCTCTAATCTCTGTTCTCTGCTTCCAGAACGGGAATACTCTCCGGTCAAGTATAATGACAAGCTAATGAACTCTATTTGGGGCCTGTACAACCGTTACTCGCCGCACAACGTCAAGAAGAACGAGTACGCTCCCACCAAATAAGACCCTATCGCAGGCGCAGCAGCTTTGCTTATAAGGAAGCTGCTCTGCCGTGTCGCTGCCTATACCCTTTCTAGGTATAGGCCGACACAATCATATATATATATGAACTCAACTATATATACACACTACTTATATATCCCCCTTAACCTGCGCATGAAAAATTAACCCCAAAAAAAGGTAATCCTTGGTAACAAAATTGAATTTAATTAATCACATCTACTACTTTGATGCTGTAATATATAAATTACAATAAATACTTATGATGCAAAAAGAGCAAGGCATAAGGGCGGTACACACTCAATTTAAATAGCAGGACTCGTAGGTCGGCACCATGTACTTGATGTTGATGAAGGCATCCTCGCCGCCATGGAGCTCCAGCACCTGGAGCGTCTCATCAATCAGATCGCCAAGGTTGAGGTTGTTCTTCTGGGCATAGTCGATCTCGTCGCCACAGTTTACTGCAGGGGAAACTCGGTATTTCGGTAAATGGATATCCTGTGAGGGGCACTTACAGTTTTTCACTTTGAAAGCGTTAAACATTGGCAGCAATTGTCTGTAGAAGGGCACCAGGGCCGGACCCACCTGGTCCGAGGACATCACCAGTTGTTGTATTATCTTCAGTGTCGTACACATTACCTCCAAATTCCGTGTGCTCAATGCGTCTGAAATGGCGGTGGGATGGAACGAAGCCAGGCGAAGGTTCGGTGAACGACTAAGGTGCAAATTAAACGAAAAAAGTTCGAGGCATTTGCGTGCCAGGCAAATCTAGTTTGCCCTCACCCCTCACCCCTCGCCTCGCCCCCAGGTACTCACTCTTCAGAGGCAATATTAATTGCGGTATTACGGTGTGTATTTTCTCTCCGCCCGCAAGCAGCAGATCCGTCACTCCCTGGCGGGCATAGGTCTTGTACGGATGCTTCGTCTCGGCCAGTCCATCGAAAAAGAGCGGTAGATAGAGACTGTAGTCCAGCTTGTCGATGTCCAACTGGGGGGTAGAACACCAGAACAGTATTTCGATTTGAATTGATTCACAGTCTGAAGGTGGAAAAGGCTTCACGCCGAAGTTCGAAGTTCGCCAGTTCCCTGGCAAGTGGAAATGTGCACGCTAGGCTTGTTACGTTCTATAACGTTTCAGTTCTGATTTCTATTAAGATGCCGTATCTTTGTTTACTTTGCTAATGGAAATTTTTTATAATAAATAGCAAAATGTACACCTTGTCTAACCTTTACGTACAGTATAATTTTGTTTTATCAACGTGTAGGGACCCCATGTTATTCGACTGATCAGAACAGCGACGATCGGTACCAGTATCGGTACCCATCGGACTGCACATTTATCTTTTTAGCTGTCAATTTCCATCAGAACTGCGTGAACTCTTATGGGCCTGACCTTCAACCCAAATGACGCAAATGATATATACTCGTATGTAGCAATGCCAGTCACATGAGTGATGTGGCACAGGAGCCGTCACGGAGGCAGTTTGGCCTGGATAAACAAACGCACCACTTAAAAGCGAATCCATGTTATATCTCTAACCAAAAGACACCCAAGGCCTGTGACATTGAAACAACAAGAACGGGTCACGTCACACACACACACACATCAAATGTGGATCCTCCGCCCACAATACACCTGCACCTACACCTACACCTATTATATTCTAGCATTTTCTGCCGGTCTGACTGATTGACACTTGGACGGCGCGACGTTTTGAATGTCAGCAATCTGAATCCGGCCGGAATCGTTCCCCTCCTTCTGCTTCTCCTTCTCCTTACCGGCCCGTCAGCTGTGCGACTGTTCTACTGACTCCGGAAATAGACAATGGCATATTATTTGCACGCTGGTGTTCTTAGCTGCAGCTTTAGCTTACACTTGAAATAATTGGACACGCAGGTGTACGGAATTAAGGCGAAACAAATATATCGGCTAGGTCACTGAGTTCTGGGTCTGGTACCCCCGTGTATCCCAGCTTCAGTGTCCCGTAACACTCACCGTCCATCCAATCTTATCGCCGCCGCAGAGGTACTCCATTTTGATGGGCAAGTCACCGCGATCGAAGTACATTCGAAACAGAGTGCCCCGCCCAGAGTCGGTACCTGGGGGGCCAGCATTGAAGCCGCCCATTCCTATGTTGAGCGTGGAAATGGATTTTTGCTGCTTTTTTAGGCCTATACGACAATCAGGTGTCATTTGGGAAACAAACAATATGTAAGTAAATGGATGGTGTGGAGTCTAGACTCCAGACACTACGCACATTTCGGATTTGGTGCCCGCCCCCTCGCACTTGCCGTTGTCGCTGTGGTTTCGTGTATTGGCCCGTTGATGACAACGGTATTTTTCTGCTGCGACTGTATGGAAAAGGGCGGCACATAACGGGGTCGCACCGCCGCCCCGTGGATGCCACTTAGTGGACGTAATTGCGGTGGATTAGCCGACTTGGAGCGATGTTTCAGCGATATGGCGGTGGCATGGTAGTCGTGCGACGGCCGCGTTCCGTACGCGTGGGCGGTGGATATGCGTGCCGTTTGAGCCATTTACCGTAGAACTTCGCCCGCGTAGTGTGAACAACAAACTGAGCGAAGGAATTTTCTGGCCACCAGTAGGTGGCGGGCGGCTCTTGGTCCTTTGTGTGGCGTTGCTGTTGGCTGTGTGTCGTTTCTATGGAGCGCGTTGCTAGGGCGCCCAAAAGGCATACACTGACTGATAAGGATTTGCCAATGCAACGTCAAACGCTGCCCACTGTCTCGACACTTCTCTTGCAGCAACAATTATGATTCATTATTTAATTTAATATTATTTTGCATACGATACCTGTATAATCTTTCTATACAGAAGTATGTACATACATTTCAGGTCAGTGAACCTGGATGTATCAGAATCAGAATTTCAGGAAATCTTCAGTACTTATTTTCAATAAATTAATCATACGTACATGTGTACATACATACATTAATAAATACTTTATTTAAAACATCGAGTATCACGAACACTGAAAGGAAATAACAAGAAAAGTGAGAGCACCTCCCAGTAATCTACTGAGTTACAACAAAATATTATTTATATCCTATTATTATTATTTACTATTATTATTCTCCAAGCTGCCAGAATAATTCCCCTGGGTATGAGGATATCTTCAAGGATGTAACGGCTCGTTGAAAATAAACTGCACAGTAGCAAGATTCGTGGTCTTTTTATGGGAACCTTGGATTTGGATCCATTCAAAAATTAGTATTTAAGTGAGAAGGAATAGGTTTTCAAGTAACTTTCAACAGGCGGTCATATAGCGCCGCGAAATCATGAGCCAGAGCGACCATCGATGGTCGTTCCATCGATATATCGATGTTACATGTAATGTAATTGTAGTATGTATTTACGTACAGTCTACGGCTACATTCTACTTGATACATCTCACAGCGTGTCGCTGCTGTGGCATTTTTAGTTTTACCTCCCACCGATGTGGCGGCGCCACTTTATACAAAAAATAACTTAATATACTTAAATTTTGAAATAAATTAATAATTCAAATAAATAATTAAATATATAATAAACTATACGTATGTAAAATGTCTCAACGCGTTTAATTTCGCAATGCTGTCTAATGCCATTGCCATTTTGGGCAAAATACGCTTACTTTAGAGTTTTCGAAAACGTGTTTGTCCCCAGAAGTGCTGTATGCCTGCAAAAAGTTCAGCCAAAGGTCAGTTCGAATAGCCAAACCGTGGAAAGGGTTCAGTTCATGTAATTTACGAATGCAGGCAGCCATGTGAACGCAATCGATGTGGGAGAGTGGGTGAGTGGGACTGGACTTGTGGCCGAGAATCGATTATGAATGCAGCCCGTTAAGCGGAGCGGCATCCCGGCACACAAAAATAATTGATTTATGTTGCGTTGAGCCCCATTTTTGGGCCCCTAAATGGGCAGAGCTCAGCAGATATGGGAAATGCTAAAAGAGTTCACACCTTGTCCACCGCAAGGTGCCTGCACTGCCCCCTCCGCCTCCGTGTGGACTTAGATAGAGACATATCGCTGTAATAAATATTTCACTTAAGGGGAGGAGAGGGGAAGGTAACAACATACGAATAGTGCTCAGTGTCAGGTTTCAGGTTCAACTCCCCCCCGAGAGTCGGAAGTCACGTTTAAACGTTTTCGCTAAAAGTTTCACACAGCCCAGTACATAGCACAGAGCACAGAGCGGATGATTGATGAGCCATGCTCGTACATACATATATGTATATGTACATATAGATAGGCACACGCACACGGCTCGGAATAACTCTTACATATAGGGAATATGGTCATTAAGGATACATTGTGTTTATCTTTGGGTTACTTTAATGCACTTTCGCACACACAAATTGTAAATCATTTTTGGGATACAAACGCATGTACACGTTTTGATGCCTCTTAATTGAGTTGGTCAACAAGTCCTTTCACATTTCCATGTTCTGTTTCGCCTCTCTGGTTTGTCTTTTCAATTATGTTGAAATATGAAAAAGGCAAACAGACAAATGCAAGTCCCAATTAAAAATGTGCTGGAAAAATCAACATCTATTTTGGGGCGTCAGTCTACTGTCGACTCTCCAGTAAATATCCAGTAACGAAATTAGTCGCTTGCTGATTTGAGCTCCACTGAGACGTCTACGTGTGGGAGGGACAGGGACACCACTCCACGGCTTCTCTTCCACTCATCGCGTACCTTTCAGGCTCCTGCCTCCGAGGAGTTTCGTGTACTGCCGTGACAGGCAGGAAGGATTTATTGCCTAACAAGTGCAGGGGGTGCTTAATTAATTTTGTTGCGCAAAGATACCAAAAGAGAGCTGTCAAGCAGCATCCCGAAGAAGCCATAACCATGGCAGCTGATGAGAAGGAGTATATAAGTAATACATTTCGGGTAATGCGGGTAATAGTTGTCGACGCTTGTATAATACGTTTCGGTTGGATAATCACTAAATACATAAATAATTGCCGCACAAATGGAAAACCAGCCCAAAATCTATAAAAATGTTTAGTGTTTTGTGTCCACGGCAATCTGTGCGATGAAGTTGTTACCTCGGCTACTGGCAGTATAATTACTATCCATCCTGTTGATCGGAAAATGTGTGGGCTACGTCCGCCTAACGAACCTCAAGTGCAAGAGCCTGGATCCAGAGTTCATGGAGTTCCCGACTTGCCGCCTGAATGTGCTCGGACGCGGCATTATCGGAGGTAATATCCATCTGAAGCTCCTGAAGGTGCCCATCACCAAAATGAATTTGAGATTCAACGTCTACCGGCGGCTCAGTGGCTACCATCCGTTCCTCTTCAATATCAGCACTGAATTTTGCCGATTTATGAAGAATCCTAATCCCCTGCAAGTTCTATACTATTTCCACAGTGCCTTTTTGCCCTACTCCAATGTGAATCACACCTGTCCCTACACCGTGAGTACATTCTAATGCTATGCCACTATTCCACATCCTACCTAATCCATTCCCGCGCCTACAGGACGATGTTTTTGTAAGGAACTGCACTCTGAATGACGAGATGTTTAAGAGGGTTCCACTGCCGAAGGGAGTGCAGGAAAATGGGTCGGAATCATTTCTATTTACATCGAAATAGATTTGGATTAGACTGCATTGATTAATAAAATCGTTTTACAGCTCTGCTCGAAGCTTTGCCCCCAAATTCTATTTCTTTAACACTTTCCGGGACTGCTGTCTGGTCACGCTCCACTGAAGCGGCTTAGACAGCGTCAGCCTTCAGCTTTCTGTCCTAAGTGAAGTCCTAAGTGTCTAAGGACTTGAACTTGACCATTCCTGCCGCCCTCCCCAATATCCCTTTTCGCAGCTTTTACTGCTCTTACAGCAGCAGCTGTCAATGGTTGCCAAGTGAAATGAAATCACGACAGCACTCCCCCCATGGGTGGGGGACAACATGTGGAAAATGCTGTCGCTTATAAAAATTTTTGGCATGCGACAAATATTTCACACAGAGGGATGCAAAAGGGGGGGTGTGGTGTTTTCGGAGCGCAGGCAGAAGAAGGGCGAAACTTTAATTTATGTGCAACGACAAGTGCACCCTGCACGCTTCGGCGCCAATAACACGACGAGATGGGGTGCAATGTGCAATGTGCCACAGCTGCCTGCAGCCAGATTGCATTCGAGCGAAGCCCCTTGGAGCTGCCAGCTGCGTTAATGAGTCCATTATGGGTACCCCACAGACCAAACACCGAATATCCCCAGATACGAAATGGATGGAAAGCCCTCCAATGGCGAGCGTTTAATTAAAATTCCAACCGCTTTGTAGGCGGCTTAACCGTTCGGGAAGGCACTCATAAAACTGGCCAAAGTGTCGGAAATTATGTATGGCCTGGGTCTTGTATATCTTTTTCCATGTTCTGGCTATGCGTCATAGCGGTAAGTAGGGCGGGGGGCGGAACGAAATTTCGGCAGGCCGCGAAAATGAGTCGCCTTTGGAGTGACGGCTAACCCCACCCAGCTCCAATCTCTGATCCGCCATCGATGAGTCATGCTCTCCGCTGATACCGCTGATGAAAGTCAATGGCCAAAAGTTTTGTGCTCTCAGAAAGGTCGTAAATAGGCTTAGAAAATTAGTAGAACTATGCGGATTACCAATCAACTCCTGAGTGCTTCAGGAGGAGGAAACAAACCAACGCAAGGAATAGATAGATATATGGGTGTATATAGATTCCTGGTGCATTAATTCCCTCTCTGTCCTTGATTGCCATTTTCCCACAAATTTATTAATTATGCTCTATTAGGACATGCAAATCTGCATTGACTTATCGTTTGAATGTCAAAACCAGAAAACCATTTCCAATTCCATTTCCATTTCCTGCTCTGCTCTGGTCTGCTCTGCAGCTTTGGAGCTTTCGAATTTCGTTTAAAACCAATTATCAAATCATGTCGCTGCTGGCTGACAAACTCATTTATTTTGCTCGATGCACTCGAAAGCCAGACATGCCCACATACATCATACTTACACGCGGGTCGGTGCTGGCTCTCTCTCTCTCTCCCTCTCTCCGCGCCCCTCAAAGTGCAGCCTAATTTTGCTTTCGTTTCCACACATGCAACATGCAACCACATCCGTTGCTGTCAGCAGCGTCTTAAGTCAGGCGCAAAATATTTGTGGTACTCCAAGCAAGCGGCACAAGAAAAATGTTGGTACGCCGCCCTTTTCCCCAAGACCAAGACCAAGACCAAGACCGAGACCCAGATCCACATCCACATCCCCAAGAGCTGTCAAACTGTCGCCAGGGCCTGAAATTGTCATTACTCAGTGTCTATTGCCTCATTTACAGGTCTCTCTCCAAAAGGGGGGGCTGGGGTCTGAGGGACTGGGCCGGTTTTCCAACTAATTTTAATGTGTGAAAATTAAATTTGGGAGTTTTCCAGCCGAGCATCTCACTCTCTATCAATTAGTTTGTCATTCCCAACCAGGCCGGCCCCCAGGCCATGCCATCCATCCCAACCCACAGTCACGATTTGCCCACACCATCAATACGTACATATGTATACCCTGCTTTTGTTCAAACTCTTGTTGCTGTGGCTTTCTGAATTTCCAATTGGTTTTTGGTACCCCTTACTCGTTGCGAGGGTATGCTGGAAGCACTCACACATATTCGGGGTCAGCCGGTGTCCTTTATCAGCGAAACTCGATTCGAGCACCAATCTGCTTCGACATGCACACGGCATGTATGTTGTTTTGACTACTCTAGGGTGTAGGAGCTGTTGGAACGAGCAAGCACGTGCTGAAGTAATGGGTATCTAATAGTCGATGCCCTCCATGGTAGCGTTTTCTCTCTCTCTTTTGTTTTTGTCGCCAATTCGTTGGCGCTCAAAATACATAAGCATAAATCATTGGCGGAGCGGATCTCTTCTCTGGCAAGCGCCACAGGAAAAATATTAAAAAAAAGGAACAAATAAGAAAAAACGAAAAACACGGTGACATATTAAATTTACAAGTTGATTTTGATTTATGTGCAATAAGAGACACACACACGCATACCCATCTGCATACAAAGATATGCTGCCTCGGCATCGGCCTTGGCGTCTGAGAGAGTCGGCCAGCCAGCCGCTAAACTCAATTGAAATCTCGCAGCTGGTTGTGTGGCTGTCATTGAGCGTGTTCTTGTTGTTGCAACTTGCAACTCAATCAGCTGCCTGCGGTTCCTGTCGGTTGCAATTAAGCCTAGGCGCTTGGAAGTGGTCTGCGCGGTTTTCGATTGATTTTCAACTGAAAGAAAGAAAGTTATTTCCCCAGTACAAAATATGCATAATTATAATGGAGTCCATGAGTCTATTAGCTGGGAATATTAGTTAAGAATCTCTTGCTACAGAGGACTTGCTTGTCATGATTTAGTAAATATATATTCTTTAAATAATTTTACATTTTTACTGGTCTGGTGTTTTTTTTCTCCCCACCAATATAAATCTCTTCTCTTAAGTTTCGTGTCAGCGCGTAACAGCTTTGAGGGGGATCCGTCGCGTCCGCGCCCCTCTCTCGCCCCTCAACGCTGGCGGTTTGTGGGCGTTTTAAGCCGCACGGAAGTTGCTCCTGCTGTCGCCTCAAACTAACGAAACAAATTGAGAGACAGAGGCAGAGACCGAGATAGACAGACAGACTGGCAGACGAACTGGTATTAATTAAAACTGAAAATTTGCAGTTTCGTTTGGCAGGGAAATATCCCATCCACCCTTCCTGCCCCTCCTGCCGAGAGTCGTTTCGAAAAACCTGCAATTAGCAACGAAAATCTCTGGTACTCGGGTAATTTGATAAATCCACGAGAAACTTGACCCACTTTCGGGATGGACCATGGCACGCTAATGAAGTCCATTCCCTTCGGACCGCCGAGAGTGAATTTTATTTTATTTCGCTTCAACATGCCCCCTCTACCCCACACCTCGACCAAGCATTCTCTTGAGGTCTGGCTGATTGCCCTACCATATCGTTTATTTTTATGGCCGCTTCCTTTAAACGTCTGGCATTTAATGTGAAATTTATCATTTCACTGCCACACCTCGCCCCCCACCCATCCCATCCCATCCCATCCATCGTCAATTTGTCGAGACTGGTATGATATTTTTATTGCTTTAACATTTAACATTTCCCTGAGTGAAATTATAATTAACAAATTTGAGAGAATTTAAGAAAGGGAATGACTTCTGGTTATGGTCTGAGATCTTTCCATTCGGAGTTAAAAGGGAAAATACCCGCTCTGTTGCTTTGAAAATCAACTTGTTATTTTGTATCCCCAACTTCAAGCCCAAAAACTTCCAACGATGTTCCACTAACAGCCACATAAAACTACAGCTCAAAGGAGCATATATGTACATACATATGCGAACAAAAACCCCACTAAAACCAACTTTAAATTAAAAAATTCACTTACCAAAGTTGATAAGTTTCCAGCATTTCAATTTCTGTACATTGCGCGCGCACCAATCCTCTGTTAACAGTTCTTTTTAACATCCCAACTTAACATGCTGCTCGGTTAAGGCTCTCATTTTCGCTCTCTTTGAATCGGGTATGAATCGGTAGCAGCAATGAGTCTTATTCCATACTTTTAAATTATGTACTTTAATAACTTGGATCGACATATGGCATTTCCCAACCATTGACCAGGTGAACCCACCGGGAAGTATTGGCAAATTGGTATTGATAAGTTACTTTTGATATGTATTTGATATACACCTCATATAATATATCCATATAAACTTTTCTTTTCATGTGGGTGGTGCCCTTTTCCACAGGTTCAAATAAATAGCACATTAACGGAAATGGTTTTGGTAACTGAAACGGTTTTGAAACGGAAACGACGCGATTTTTTTTTACCATTTTCGCTAAAACTTCTTTTTACGTAAAATGCAACAAAAGTAATTGTTTAAAATAAACCAGTCATATAGAAAATAGATACATTAATCGGATAAAATTGTGTGGGCATGGCTAAATGTTTTATTTAGTTAGTTATATTGCACGGAATATCAAAAACGAGGAATATGTAAAATATAACTTGAATTTGTCAGTATATTTACGGTATATTTCTTAAATGAGACCGTATACTTTGGTATATTTCTGAGGGTCGGACGGTGTATTTCATCGAGAAGTCCGCGGTCACACTGCATTCGGCGTCGAAAAAAAACTGAGGCAAGGTCGTTCCGCGCATGCTGCGTCGGGGAATTTGACAGAAAATGCGTTTTTCTTGAAGAAAAGGACGAGATGATAATTAGTGAATAAATCAAACGAAACTGTAAGATGTGTGTGCGGTAATTCGGTTAATCTAATACAGAAAAGCGCGAAAAATGTGATTTTGAAACTGCAGCTACGCTCTTCAAGTGATAGTTGGAGCGAGACAACACTACTCTCTGTGTGTGTGTTTGTGTTTGCGTGCAATTTGTTGATGTAGTTTTTTGTGTTGTTGTTGTTGCACAGAAATGCAGGGGAACAACAAAAATAACTAAATTTGTTGTTGCATGGTGCAAAGAGCCGGCAAAACAAACGTAAACGTAAATCTGATTGAGGAAACGCAGCAACGCGAAAGATTCGCCAAAGAATACACAACAAAAGTGGAGTGAGTTTCTGTGCGTGTGTGCCCGCTCCTGTAAGTGTTGCCCTGTGTGTGTGAATGTAAGAAAAGAATCAAATTAAAACCCCCAACGGCCAAAATGCCGTGCCAGCAAAACGTCGCGAGATCGTAAACAAAATTCTCTGGCCCTCAAATTACCGCGTAACGTAACCGCTCCCGTAAATTAGCAGTCGAAACAATTTCATTAACATGGCCCACACGACGATAACAACGTGGATTCTGAGTATATTCCTGATCCAGCTGCAGCTGTTGCAGCCTTCAATTGGCAGTCAAGGTAGGAGTTTGTTACACGTTTTACTATACTACACGTACCCTATTCCCTGGTGACGAAATGTCTGGTCGACGTGCCCGAAATCATGGGTATTGGGGCTGAAAAAAAACTACTCATAGTTCGATGAGTTGTGTTAACAGCCTGATAAGAGTCCCCAGTATATGACATTTCGCTAGCTTTTCGCAATTGACGTACATATGTACATATAAGTATACATATGGCCAGGCCCAGATCGAGCCACATGAGGAACAACCTTTGGCAATCATTTAGGTAATTCCTCCTTATTGCTCTCCACCGATAGATAAGGCAACACCCTAAACGGGAGGGGCTGTCAATCAGTTATCTCCTCGCCAGCGCTTGAATTTCAAACATTCCTAATGAGCTTCTCGTGAAGCGATAAACAGGCACTTCGTTACAAGAAATGCGAAGCCTCGACATCAAAAATAATAAACTGCACTGCACTTCAAGAAATATGAAACGAGCTGTTCGCTTGAACTGCACTCGAGGCTTATTTTCTATATAAGCAGAAGGCTCTAACAATTAATATTTCATGGCCATCCCACGGCAGAAACTATTTCATAGGAAACGAAAAGCAGGCACTAAAAAGAAAGGGCCAGAAGCGAAAACAATACTCCAGCTGCAGCAATTACGATTAAGTGATGAGATTTCTATTAATTATACGATTGATTGTGTCGAGAACATGCCAATATCCAAGAAAAGTTTGCATTCCAGAAACAAATCTGCAACAAAACCGAATCGGGGTTCTTTTCTGGTGCTGCTAATAGTTGAAATTTCAGATTCGAGAGGCACAAAATGGAGTACCGAAAACGGGCCACAGGAGTCATTATCATTAGCCAAAGAATGGAACGGTTTGCCCGACCAACAAGTGTTTGGGCCCAGGCGTCTAGGTACAGGCACAGGTAAACCGAAAATCAATTAGGATTGGGACCTGCAACAGTTTCAGGTCAGATATTCGGGTCCAGGCAGGCATTATAAAACTGGAAACCAGCTGGCAGCTGCACAATGCACAATTTAGTGATTGATAGAAGGTTGTGCTCTTCTGACCTAGGGGCTTATCATATTTCAGTATCTGTTATGAATTTTAGTTGTTGGCAGGGGGGAAAAGCAAACAAAACCGAAATGAGGGAGGGAATCGGGGGAAATCCCCACAAAATGCGCAAATAATGCAAACAAATTTCGACCTCCTGTGAAGCCGGAAAAAGCAACCCCTAAAGCCGAAACACGTCGGGCTGGATTTATCTCTTATCAGGACTGGTATTTATCAATGCCAGAAGCTCCAAGGGAACCCCACATACAAATTATATAATGGGCCATGTCCCAGGCAAATGGAATGACAATGAAAAACGGGAATCTTTGAACGAATTTGGGTCATGGCATGTCATAAGTCGAGGCACTTTCCCCCAGATTTAATTAAAAGCTTGGCCCACCAAGTCTATGCGGTCGCGCGGTAATTAAAAATATTCACCTATCCACATGGGTGTGTGAGCCGGCAGGACAAAGGACATAGAAATGTGCTTGTACCTACAGGCAGGTGACACAATGCCACACAATGGAGTCTCTGTGGGTCGACTGGGAGCTACTCTCGAATCCCAGAATACCCTGGAACCAGACGGAATCTACAAGCTCACGTGCTGAGGTCCTGCTCCCATTATTTCCTGCTTTATTTTCACTTTTCTGGTCATATTTGTACGCTTTGGTCTTCTTTGAGAACTGTGGGAACTGTGGTAATTGTTTCGTGTCCCGGACGAGTTCCCGCATTACGTGACGCAATGTACAATATGGGACATACATATGGGGCTGAGCGACATGTTATTCTAATTTCGCACCCCTTTGTGATACAACATTTTCTCCCAGTTTCGCTTTTCTTTTCCCTCTGAGGGTGCGCTTGTCAAAATAAACATTTCCATATGGCCCAGGGCCCAGGGCAGTGCGATGCGATGTGTCGTAATGTGCCACAAAGGAAGAGCCGGAGTGCCGGAGAGAGTGGTGGTTGGAGGGAGACGGAATGAGGTCACTCTTCTTCACTGTTGAATGCAGACTAATTACGGTCCGAAGCAATGTCTTTCAATTATGAGCTGGTAAAGAGACAGGCACAGGGATAACACACACAGAGAGAGAGACAGGGAGAGCAACACAGGAACAGGACAGGGCGCAGAAGTGCTGACAGTGCAAGCGGAAATACTCTGCTGATCTGTTTGCCCACCGATCCACATGGAAATATGACTAAGATGCTAAAAGGATGCCCAAAGAATTTCAATATAGCTGGCTGGCACTTATCGATGGATGGATGGATGGATGGATGGATGGACTGTACCCATTCGTCATCACCGATTTCCATAAAGCCAGGCCTTGGACCGACTTCTTTAAAGGCTGGAAACACAATGGAAACTCTTGTTTGTTTGTTGGGGTCTTGTTGGTCCAACCAGCTGTGCGGCAGCTATGATGCTCTGCGCACTGTGTGGTTTTAATTGCAATCAGTTTTGTTTTATTTTAATTTATTTGGCACAGAACAAACCACAGAAACAGAAACGGAGAAATCTTGTACGTTTATATGTTTTTGGGCAAGTCATGTTGCTGGAATTTGCAGGGGAGGGGTGGCGGGGTTGCACCCAAAAAAACAAAGACGAACAGAAGAACAGTAAAAACTCCCGCAAGCTCTCCTTCGCCCCTCGAGTGTCGTCTCTTTCCCACCTCTGCTGGATGCGTGCCTGCTGCTGGCAGAATGCAATTTCGGACTTCGGTCGAAGCTTCTTCCTTTTGGCAATTCGACATGACAACATGAATAATTCACTTGAACCCGCCACAGCCCCTGCCACAACAGCAACAAGCGACCGAAAGAGAGGCTGCAGACCCAAAGATCCTCAAAGTTCAACAAACTTCGAGACTTTGGTCAGAGAGCGGCCTCACCGCAGGGGCAGAGCGAAAAGAGAGTCAGGTGATCTCAAGAAACCAATGAGGAAGTGGGAGTAAAGAGAGCCAAGCACCGCAAGAGTGAGATCCTTGGGAATGCCTCACCCTATAGTAACACACCTTGCGAATGCCACAGAAGAACTGAAAGCGGGAGTCCAGGAAATGGCGATTTGCATTCTGTGCCATCATATAGGGGTCTGGTGCAGGGTATTGAGTGCGTAGGTGGGATCTGCTTGGGGCGGAACTGTACCGCAACCGGCTGAACAGCCCAGTCGAAGGACACACAACGTTGTGCCATTCCAATGAACTAGTTCCAGGCCGAAACCAACTCTCTCTCTCTTTCTATCTGTACTTTATTTGCCCGTTCTGGATCTTCTGGTAGTGGAGAGTGCTTTAGTGGCTTAAAGTGCCGTTAAAAACATGCCATGGCAATGTTTCCTGCCCTGTCCCCCGTCCCCATTCCAGTTCGTAAATCTCACACCTCTTAGGAGTCAGAGTCCGGCTCCTCCGTCGCCAGACTGAAGCTATAAAATATCAGAAATTATCTGCCTCCACGCCTCGAATCGCACTTAATCACCTTTCGCAGTGCCAGGGAGTGGGCAACGAGAGCGAGCGAAACGGAAGTCGGCAACAGTTTTTTTAAATGCAGTCATTTAGCCAAAGTGCCAGCCAGGAGGCTCCACCCGGCTCTAGGCCTAAGATCTTCCCAGTGCCACTAGTGCCACGCCTTTGCTGGGAAAAGAACTCAATTACAAAACAAGCAAAACGACGAGCTTCATAATTATTTTGAGCCCAGTGGAGCGAGCGATAAGCCAGCCCCGAGTGCCGGGTGCCGCTCCTCCTCTACTCCTCCTCTCAAGGCGCGAGACAACGACAGACAACAAGCAACAAAGTAAACAAAAGTTTTTGCATTATTGTACCTCGGGTACTCGGTTCGGCGTATGGGATGGGTATGCTGGATTGGCGCCTCGGAGGGAGGCCTCGGTGTTATCTGATGCCCAGGATTAAGAATACCGCAAAAATGCTGCTTGGCTAAGGGATATCGTCTAGTCGTAACATCCACTAGGCGCCTCTTACACGCTCTCGTTTAGTTATTCTTCGCGTTGCTCTTCGGGTTTCAGGTTTCCCCGTGTGCCCATGGGCCACATTAATTGAAAAAAAAGTCACTCGTTTGGCTTTGGTTGGCAAGCAAATGGAGTTGGTCTTGGCTTTGGCCAGCTCCAAACGCCACCGGGCACTGGACTACTCCCCAGCGCAGCGTCCCCTTCCATTCGACGGGGGCTTATCGGTCAACAAAATGCTGGGCAGTGTGCCCCGAGATAAACTGCGGCCATGACTGCCTTTAAAGTAGATCGATCGTTTGATTGGCGACGGAAAAGCGGTCCCCCTCCACTACTCACATATCTTCGGAGCTAATCTAGCAGCGGCCTGCAATTGCCATAGAAAAAACGAGCCAAGCTTCGACCAGACTAGCCACTGCCGCAACAAAAGCAACAACAACAATGGCGACGACAATGTCTGAGAGATCGTTGAATAGTGGCTCCAGGGGCAGAGGTGATCGAGGAGGGGCCCAGCCAAAAGTAATTTGTTACAACAGGCCACAAGACTAACGACGCGTCGGTCGCAAGGGGCCAGACTACGAGAGTTTCGTTTTGTTCCGATCCGATCCGTTTGGTTCTGTTCCGTCTCTCGATCCAATCGAATCGAATGCGATCTGATCCGAGCGCCAATCGTCTCGGGCACTAGGCGACTCTTCGGCTCCAGCTGAATGAGCAGCGCAGGCAGCCGTTCGTGGCGTTGCTATTATTTTATTATTATCTACAAAATGCACGTACATTATGCCACTTACGAGCCGCGACGCGACGCGAGGCGGCTGCAGAGCCACGGTAGTCGGTCGTTGGTCGTTGGTCGTCGGTAGTCGTGTGGTTTCTGCCTGCGGTTGCAGTTATTGCACAGTGGGGTGGATGCTCTGCAAAAAGGTGGGCCCTTCCTTGCTTCCCAGTACTTTTGGGAGTGCTCTTCGCCCAACTCATTTAGCATTTAGCACTCAACTCATAATTGAAAAAGCCGCA